TGAAGATCCTACATGCTGCGGAGCAACTAAGCCTGTGCACCACAACTACTGAGCCTGAGCTCTAGAGCCTGCAAGCCACAACTACTCAGCCCGCACACCCAGAGCCCATGCTCCACAACAAGAGAAGCCACCGCAACGAGAAGCCTGTGCAGCGCAACGAAGAGTAGCCCCCGCTCGCCACAACTAGAGAAAAGCCCGCGTGCAGGCAACAAAGAACCAATGCAGCCAAAAATAAAATAAATAAATTTTTTTTAAAAAAGAGGGGGGAATGGACTAAAAATAAGTATTAGTGAAAATATGATAAATAAAATTAAAAATTAATGAAAGAGGAATTAGACTCGAGAGCATCAATAATGCCAGAAGTTAGTTCTTTGAAGTGGTCAATAAAACTGGTAGATCCCTGACCACATTGCTAAAATGAGAAGGCACAAAATACCCACATGTCAGGAATGAAAACACAGACATCCCCACAGATTCTACTAAAATGAAAAAGACAGTAAGGATATTTTTAAACAACTTTATGCCAGTAAGTTTGAAATTTTAATGAGCTGAAATGAATATTATAAGAACATAACTTGTCAAAAATGACTCAAAAAAATGAAAAAGCTGATGTCCTATAACTTTAAAGTCAATAATTAAAACAAAACACTTTACTACAAGTAATACTTCAGACTCGTATCTTCACTAGTATCCAACATCTAATGGAAGGGGGGGTGGGGAAAGGCCTATCTTACCCAAAGTCTTCCAGAGAATAGAGGAAATGATACAATTTGTGAGGTCAGCCTAATTTTTATACCAAAACTGGGTAAGGAAATTATAAGACAGGAACATCCAAGACAATCTAAATCAGGAACACAGAAGGCAAAAAAAGTCCTGGACAAAATTTTACATGGTGAACTCTACAAGAAAGTAAGTTGGGCTTCCCTGGTGGCACAGTGGTTGAGAATCTGCCTGCCAATGCAGGGGACGCGGGTTCGAGCCCTGGTCCAGGAGGCTCCCACATGCCGTGGAGCAACCAGGCCCGTGCGCCACAACTACTGAGCCTGCGCGTCTGGAGCCTGTGCTCCACAACAAGAGAGGCCGCAATAGTGAGTGGCCCCTGCTTGCTGCAACTAGAGAAAAAGCCCTCGCACAGAAACGAAGACCCAACACAGACAAAAATAAATAAATAAATTAATTAATTAGAAAAAAAAGTTAAAAAAAAAAAAAAAGAAAGTAAGTTACCAAACACTATCAGGGTCTATGGAAAGGACTTAGGAGCCAACATAAAAGGGTCCCTTCTGGCCAAAGAGCGAACAACCTAGTGATCACAGAAAATATTAGCTGTAATGGATGGAAACACAGCAACAGGGGTGGGGTGGGGGGCAGGAGAGAAGATGGCTTAATTAAATGTTTCACATGAAGAACATACAAGTAAAAAACAAGGAACGAAATATGAAACATTAAAAACAGCATCAGGCAAATGTGAAGAGGACTGGAATCAGAAATATCAAGGTGAGACAGGTACAAAGAACAGACACAAGAAGCCAAAGCACAGAAAAGTGTTGCACAATTTGTGAAGCAAAACTATGTGACTTTGAACACCAGGTTTATTTCAACAATGAAATATTTCATAAGTAAAAACAAGTGACAGATTCATGTATATTTTGCCATATTTACGTCACTGCCCGCACTTGGCTTATAGGAATATAGCGATATAGGAATAAGAGTTACTTGTTTGAACTTGTATTGAACTTGTTTCCCACAACCTTGCTACATTTACTTATTAGTTCAGAATTGACATACAGTAAACAGCACATATTAAGTTTTGACATGTGTATAAGTTTTGACATGTGTATATGCCAGTGAAACCATCATCACAATCAAGAAAAACAACACAGCCATAAATACCCAGAAGTCTCCTCATACACCTTGTAATCTCTCCTTTCTATCCCTCCAAGACCTCTCCCTCATGCCCAGGCAACAACTTGCACTTTCCAGTATTTTCTATAAATGGGGCGGTGGGGGGAGAGACTATCTTGATAAATACAAGACAGAATACCATTCAGTCAAGTCATGTTTGAAACAAACATTGAAAAAAAAACTGGAAAATAAAATTATATCCGCTTGAAAAAATATATATGTGTATTTAAAACCAGAAACATAACAAAATACTCCCTCTGCCTGACAGTCTTCCCTATCCCTCTTCAGTTTAAACAACACATCCTCAGAGAAGCTTTCCTTCATCATTCTGTTAGTCTCTCCTACAGTGGCAATCTCTACTTCTGTTACTTGTCTCACCTGTGATTATTTTGTCAACATCTCTCTTCCCCCATAGTTTGTGACAGAGGAATGTGTCTTGTTCACAGCAACTAAGCCCGTGTGCCACAACTACTGAGCCTGTGCTCTACAGCCTGCAAGTCACAACTATTGAGGTCCACATGCCTAGAGCCCATGCTCCACAACAAGAGAAGCCACTGCAATGAGAAGCCCGCGCACTGCAACGAAGAGTAGCCCCTGCTCGCCGCAACTAGAGAAAGCCCTTGCGCAGCAACAAAGACCCAACGCAGCCAAAAAAACAAAACCCCCCACAACACTGTAATCAACTATATTTCAATAAGTTATTTAAAACTTAAAAAAAAGAATAAACACACATGCAAACGAACAAGCATATAACTTGAATAGAGAATCACCTAATACATCAAAGTAGCATTTAAATTCCCTTGGGAATGGTGTAGTTTGTTTAACAAATGATGCTGGCATAACTGGCAGGAAAAATAAATAAATAAAAGAACATGGGGAGTTCTGACAAGAGAAAAGATGGGTAAAATTTAAAATAGGGTGGCCAGAGTAGTATTCACCAATGTGACATTTGAGTAAAGAGCAAGAGAGTTAGCTATTAGGATTTATGGGGAGAAGTGTTTTAGGCAAAGAGAACAATTGGAGGAAAGATCCAAAGGCAATAATAGCATGCCTTTCTTGTCCTAACAGCAGCAAGGAGATTATGGTGGAGTAAACAGTGAAGACAGTAGTAGATGTGTTTACAGAGGTAATGGAACGTCAGATCTTATAGGGCCTCATATGCCATTGTAAGGAATTCAGCTTTTACTGGGTGAAGTATGAACCACAATTGAGTTTTGGACAGAAAGTGACATGGTCTGACTTAAACTTCAAAGGAATCACTGTTAGCTTTATTCTGAACAGAATGCAAAGGAACAAAGGTAAAAGCAAAAAAGATCAGTTAGGAGAATATTGCAGTAATTCAGTCAAGAGATGATGGTGCCTTGGGTCAAGGTAATTAGTAGCAGTAAAGGTGGTAAGAATTGGTCAGATTCTGGATAACTTTTAAAGGTAGAACAAAGATTTGCTGATGGCTTAGATATGGGATGTATGAAAAAAGTCAATGATGATTCCAAAATTTTTGGCCTGAGCAACTAGAGTGATAGAAATGCAATTATCTGCAACAGGAAAGGCTTTGGGTGGAACAGCTTTAAGGTGGAAGATCACTTCAGTTCTGGACATGTTAATTTTGAAAATGTCTATTAGACATGCAAGTGGAGATGTTGAGTAGGGCTGGATATTGGATATGAGTCTGGAGTTTGCGAGAGAGGTCCAGGCTGGAGATAAAAGTTTGAGAATTAGACTACAGATGATCAAAAAGTCTTGAATTAAATTAAATCACTTTGGGAGTAAGTAAAGATAATGTGATCAAGAACTGAGCCTAGGGGCACTCCAATTTTAAGAGGCCAGGAAGAAGAGTAACCAGCAAGGGAGACAGAAGGAGCAACCAGTAAGGCAGGAACAAAACTAGAAAAGTGGGGGGTTCCTGGAAGCCACATTTCCAGGAAAGTAAATCAAGGAAAAGTGACAGGTAAACCGTGTACTTCCAATACATCAAGTAAAGACTGTTGAGAGCAACACCACAGAAGTAGAAGCCAGGAAGGGGATACCATATTAACAGCAAAACGTGTGCTTTCCCACTCCAATCCTCTCTATTTGTGTATCATATTTGTAGATACTAAGACCTGGTGAAATTGCCCTGAAAGTTGTTGATCTAATGACTGGACTAAAAAGGGTGACTCTAAGCCCTTTTTATTTACTCTGTGCCGAACAATTTGCTAAATGCTGGGGACATAAACGTGAATAATACACAGTCCCTGCCTTCAAAATAATCCAGTGATGTTCTAAAGAAATGCATAAAATCGGACTTTCCATCTTTTCTGAAGCAGCTGTCCAACATACTTTTAAGAGAAAAAAGGAGTGATTATTTTTTACACTTTATAACATTCACAGACTAAGAACTATAAGAGATGAATTTCTACTTTTCCCCCCAAAGCTTTAAAAAAAAAAAAAAAAGCTTTCCTTTCTGATTAGAAAAGTATTCGGTATTTAAAAAAAGCCTCTGTGTGTGTTTAGCAATGCATCTAGAAAAATAAACAACTTAGAAATGAAATGCCCTGAAATTACATCTCCAGAAGTTAACTACTGTTGACACTTTGGTATGTATTTTTCTTGTTTTTTTCCCCCATGTGTATATATTAACACTCTAATAAGACATGTTTGCATACTTTAAGTATAATTTTCAATGTTTACCAACAACTCTTCTACATACTTTCCTGAATTTATTTTCAATGTAATTAGTTATTATTATTTAATATCTATATGTGTAGGAATGAAAACAAATGTGTGTATACGTATATATATTTTTTCTTAACTAGTTTGGCCAATTTGAGTTGTAAGAAAACAGTGTCTTCTGCTTAAAACAATGTAAGCACTAGCACTAGCTTATCAAAAACAAAACCAAATAACATGATATAGGCAAAACTTGAAGGATGTTAACCAAAACATGTTAACTATGATTATCTCTGGGAGTGACTGAGTTATTTTTATTCTTCTTCATGATATTCTGTATTTATCACATTAAGAAAAAAATGTATATATAACATTTGTAGCACATTTAAGTAAACAGTTTTATACTTAGTTTATATTAATATTTTACATCTAATTTAACAGAAACTCACTTGGGCATGAATGCTCCATTGGCTAAGGATGGTTCATCGTCATCTAGCCCATCGAAGAGGTGTGACTTGGCTGTGCCTGTTGTTTGTAAAGCCTTTGGTCGGACTCTGGTGGCAGGGCGGGGTGTCAGTTTATAATGCGTAGGTGTTGTGAGAGCCTTCTGGGCTGCTGGATTTGTCGGTTTCAATCTCTGAAAAACAAAAAAATCAAGGACAGTTCTAGTTTAACTCAAATATGATACTGGCCTTAAAAATCAGAAGACCAGAGTTCACACCTCATCTCTGCCATCACCTGCTAGATCCCTCTTGGAGTCTTGGCTCTCAGAACACAAGGATTTCCCACCCAACTTTGTATATAAGAATGCTAATGCTAATTAGCATTCTTACATACAAAGTAATGCTTTGTAACTGAATGCTAATGTACAAAGTAATGCTTTGTAACTGAATGCTAATGTAACTGTCTTTATTTCTCTATAATTGATTTTCATTCATCTCCCCAGCCCCCATTTCAATGGGTTTGTCTGACTTGTTTCAAAATGTAATTGAGATACTGCATCTGAAGTGCTTTGTAAATCGAAATGTACTAACATTTTAATATACCTTGTGCATTTCTCTTCATCTTACAAAAGAGAATAGCCTGCAGTTGTTTTGCTTTCTAAAACAAAGATGACAATATTTACATTCAATTTTAAGAAAATACCAAAATAATTCTAAGCCTAATTATTTTTCAATTAAACCAAAAATCTTATCCTTCAAGAAAAACTGAGACACAGCCATAAATATTCAACTTTTATGCAATCTACATCACTCTGAAAAAATGGATAGATATTAGCCTTTATTTATCCACCATTTAATAAACACTGATAATTACCATGAGTCAAACACTAAGAATAAAAATAATACAATTGGGACTTCCCTGGTGGTGTAATGGTTAAGAATCCATCTGCCAATGCAGGGGACACGGGTTCGAGCCCTGGCCCAGGAAGATCCCACATGCCGCGGAGCAACTAAGCCCATGTGCCACAACTACTGAGCCTATGCTCTAGAGCCTGCGAACCACAACGACTGAGCCCAAATGCCACAACTACTGAAGCCCATGTGCCTAGAGACCATGCTCCGCAACAAGAGAAGCCACTGCAATGAGAAGACTGCGCACCACAACGAAGAGTAGCCCCCACTCACTGCAACTAGAGAAAGCCAGTGTGCAGCAACGAAGAAAGAGAGGAAAGAGAGGAGAGGAAAGAGAGGAAAGAGAGGAAAGAGAGGAAAGAGAGGAAAGAGAGGAAAGAGAGG